GTCGTCCCTCCATATAGTCACATCCTCGATAGTGTGACTTTAAAGAAGGCTGTGAATGTATAGAGGTCAAATTTTTCTATGCTTTATAACATCTGGGACTGGGAGATGGCGTGTGTGTGACTATACAGGAGGTGATCTATAAAGGGATGACTGTATATGCATATATAATTCTCAACGACCTAGTAAGAATAATACCTTTCATACCTCTTTTTCAATAACTCGACGTGAAGCCAGATCAGTTTTGTTTCCAGCAAGTGCAATAACAATATTGGGATCTGCTTGCCTTTGAAGCTCTTTTACCCATGACTTGGCTTTTTCAAGTGAAGACTTTGAAAATTAGAAAGTGAGCAAAGATTATCGTCAATAGAGAATAAAATTATCATATACTGTTACTATAGGTGAGAGACTACTTACAGCTTGAGTTATATCATATACCACTACTGCACAATTTGCATTTCGATAGTACATTGGAGCCAAGCTCTGTTTATTTTAAAGAGAGAAGATTAAAACGATATATTTTGAAGTAAAAAAAAAAAATATAGGAATTTTTTTGACCCTCACCTTATAACGTTCTTGGCCGGCTGTATCCCTTTTTATATTATATAATTCTTAATAAATTAATAGCAAAATAGGTAAAAAAATATATATATATAAATAAATACCAAATTTCAAATTTTACTGTTGTATTATCATCTAGGCAGATAGTTTGGGTCAAGAAAGCGGCTAACAAGAAAAGAATATATATTTTAATCGATATTTCAAACGATTATTTCCTATTATGACTTGTAAATCAAGAGTTACCTCCAATAGTGCTTTCTCTGTAATCATCAAATTGATCTTTGACGAAACGCAATACTAGGCTAAAGAAAATATAAAATTATGTCGAGAGACTTGAGAATTAAGGGAGATAAAGGTAGCGCGAATGATATGAAATAAATTATAAAATCTATGTTGTTCAAGATAAAATGTTGTTGTTGCGTAGGATAGCCATTGTCTTGAGTAATGCGTCGTGTACTCGTTTAACGAGAGACGTAAATAAAGTGGAATCTTTGAAATCTTTTATTCATCAAGAAACAAGAACGAACCTAGATTTGCCAACTGCAGCTTCCCCTATGAAATTCAGAGTTGGTGGGAATGAATGCAAGACAAAGTTAGCAGGACATTGACAGCTTTGAAAAGTCAAGTTTCTATCCAACTACCCAACTAAAACTTGTAGTTGAAAATCGATCTAATTAAAGCTACCACTTCGGAGTTGAAATGGTGTCCCCTACCTAGTAAAACAAGCTTGAATTGATAGAGTTTGCCAGGTGCCTGAGGCGGTTGCCTATTATTGTTGGACATTTGTTTATATCTGGGTTGGAAAAATTTGACCTCTATACATTCACAGCCTTCTTTAAAGTCACACTATCGAGGATGTGACTATATGGAGGGACGAC